TCAGGGTCTCTGTTTCATGGTCTCAGTTTGTTTCAGGGTCTCTGTCTATTTCAGGGTCTCTGTCTGTTTCAGGGTCTCTGTGTGTTTCAGGGTCCCTGTCTGTTTCAGGGTCTCTGTCTCCCCCTCTCAGTGTAGTGTCTGCAGCTGCCTGTCTTTGCCCCTCTGTCTTGTCTCTCTGCATCTTTCTGCCGCTGCCTCAGGGTGTCTTTCTTGCTTTGTCTGTCTGAGTCTCCCTGCCTCACAACGTTCTCTGTCTTATTATATTTGTCCCTGTCTTTCTGTGTCTCTCGATGTCTCTGCCTCTCAGCTGCGTCAATCTCAGTGTCTTTGCATCTCTATCTCTGCGCCTACCTCTGAATCTCTGTCTCTGTGTCTCTATGTCTCTGCATCCCTGTCTCTCCCGGAGAAAAGCGCCTGTGCGGCCACCGCCCATAGTAAACATGGCGGCCACAGCTCACAACCTCCCCTGTTATGGCGCTGCTTCTCGCGAGAGTCGCGAAGGCCTTGACATCCGGGCCGTTCAGAGCCCCGCCCCCTCCGCGACCCTGTTGGTTCATCCAAGTCAGGCCTACACTTCCATTGGCTGAAATCCCACACACCTCCCTCCCACCCCTTACCCTCCCCACAGTCCTTTGGACCGATGCGGGAAGGCAGGGCCCGGAGAGGGGCGGGACTTCCGGGTGTGGGGAGGGGGCGGGGTCAGAGATACTGACACTGAACAGAGATTGAGGGGGAGACTGTTGTAGTGACCCGGAGACCCTGCGAGAGACAGAGGCTAATGAGGCTCTTGGAGAGACACAGTAACTTGGAGCCTGGGGGAGACGCAGAGCCCAGATGACGGGGGAGACGCTGGGACGGAGCTAGACAGAGGCTTCGGGCGCCCCCGGGGAGCCCGCGGGATGGGGGCCTGACGCTGCGGCTGCCGGATCCCGGAGGGTGAGGGGCCGGCGGGCGTGGCTGGACGGGGGCAGGAGGAGCAAAGCTCGGTCCGGGGCTGGGTGGGGCGGGGGCGCCCGCGCCCCAAGCAGGACCTTGGCCAGGGGCAGTCGGGCCCCGGGGCGCCCCGGCCCTTCCTGCTGCAGTCCCTGATCGCCGGCCAGCCTGGGCTGCCACTCTCCAGCTCGCCGCGACCCTCCCTCTGTCCCGAGGCCCCTTTGACCCTCTGGTCCCTGGGTTGTCCTGCCCATCACTGGCCTCCGCTTCTCTCGCCCAAGGTCTCTGGGTTTCTGGTCTGTCTTTCGTTCGTGCCGTCCTCGGTGCTGGGGTGTGTGTTTTGGGGGGAGGGGTTCTGATCCTTCCTTTTCTCTCCTCACTATGTCTGGGTACAAGAGTCCTCTGGGGAACCCCCCCCCCCCTCAACTCCCTTAGGGACTGGTCTGTCTCCTTGGCCCTGGGGTAGGGGCAGAGATCCTTTGGCCATGACCTCTTTCTACACATCATGGAGACTTTGGGTGCCCTGAAGGCAGGGAAGATGGCGGGGAGGGAGCTGGAGTTCTACTAAAGAGATAGGGTTCAGCAAAAGGATGGGCTCCATGAAATGGTCGCAGGCCATCAAGCGGTGACTGCTTGGTAGGGGCGTGTGGGTCACAGAGAAGGCAGTGAGGCAGTTGGGTCTGGGCCAGATTCCTCTCTTCCTCCTGTGTGGGTGTCCTTCCCTAATCTGACCCTAATTTTTCCCTCTTTCTGTCCCTGCAGATCCTGGCCTTTGGAAGGGAAGAGCTGAACTGAGCTGACCTCCTTGGGCCAGGGGAGTCAAGCCGGAGCCCATAGTTCCGATCCCTGGGCAGCCCAGGCCAGGTGGGGTTGGGCTGGGCCATGGCAGGCACCCCACTCCTGCATGGGGAGTTTGGCTCTTATCCGGCCCGAGGCCCCCGCTTTGCCCTGACACTCACCCCAGTGGCCTTGCATGTGCAGCGGCTGCGCCCTAGACCAGAGGCCTGGCCCCAGGGGGGCCTGGTCCCTCTGGCTGAGGTCTCTGGTTGCCGGACCTTGCGCAGCTGCTCCCCTAATGACTCTGCTGCTTACCTGTGTGTCTACACTTATCCACGGGGCCGGCGGGGTGGCCGCCGGCGGGCAGCTCGGACCTTCCGGGCTGACCGGGCCCCTGACTACAAGGAGAATCACGCAGAGGCCCAGAGATGGGCCACTGCTCTCACCTGCCTACTTCGAGGGGTGCCCTTGCCTGGGGACCTTGGTGAGCTGCAGGGCTAGGGTGGGGAAAGGCTACCTAATGGCAGGGGGGTGGAGGGAATGAAGTCCAGAAGGAAGCTAGGGACCCCAGGTGGATGCGCTCAGGAAGCATGAGTGGGATGGCCTGGAAAAGGGCCTGGCTTCCCAATGGAAGGGGGTGGAAGAGAAGTCAGGATCTGAGGAGATGGATCCTGGGAGGAGGTCTAGGGACCCTAGAAGGGGACAGGAGAAAAGGGGAGATGCCAGCATCAGAGTGGTGGGGAGAGGTCATGGAAGGGCCAAGAGCCTGTAGCAATGAGGAAGGGAAAGATGATGGATAACCCAAGGGAAGAAGCCAAGAACCCAAAGTGTAAGGGACTGCAGGAGGGAGAGACCAAAGCCTGGGGACCAGAGGAAGAAAGGCACTCAGACAAGCCTTATGTGGTGTCTCCACCTTTGGGGTGTCTCTCTCTCATTCATTAGGTTTCTGTCTCTCCCTCTCTCTCTCTCTCATACATACACCTGTCTTGGCTCTTTGTGTTTCTGTATTTATGTGGGCACATATCTAGGACCCCTAGAGGAGGCTGAAACCCGAACAATATCTGTGAGACTAGGAGTGAGGACTTTTGGCCCTGGGTGTCTCTATTTGTCATCTCTTTCTGCACCCTCCATCCCCCCCACCCCATTTCCAGGTCAGGCTTCTTCATACTCACCATGTCTGCCCCACTCTCTCCCTCTGCTTCTGGCCCCTCTCCCAATTATATCTCCCCCCAGCCCCCCATCTCTGTGCCTGTCTGCCCCATCTTCTCCCCCTTCTCTCCACCTCCCCATCTCTGTGCCTGTTTCTCTGCCCCATCTCCCCCCAGCCCCCCACCTCTGTGCCTGTCCACCCCATCTTCTCCCCCTTCTCTCCACCCCCCCATCTCTGTGCCTGTCTTTCCACCCTATCTCCTCCCCCCTTCTCTCTGCCCCCCCCATCTCTGTGCCTGTCTCTTTGCCCCCATCAGGGAGGGATGGATAGAAAGAGAGGGGAGTGGCCCTGTGGCCTGGGAACTGGGACTCCCTCTCAGTCTTTCGGTCTCCCTGCTTGCCTCCCAGGGCTTTCTTTCTGTCTGGGTGACTGTACACCTGAGAGCCAGAGGATTAGGTGGGTGGGGCACTGTAAGCCTAGAGTAATTAGCTCCATCCTTCCACTGTCCACCCCCACGCCTGGGCAGTGCGCCAGGACACCTGGGTCCAAAGAACAGAAGCGATGAACCCCATTGGGGTGGGTGGTGTGGGAGAAGCCTAAGCCTTGGGGTTGGGGGAGGGGATGTCAGGGAGTGCACCGGAAAGAAGGGTCACATGGGTATAGGGATGTGTGTGGTGGGGTGGAGGACGCAGGGGTTCCCAGAGGGTAGGCAGGACTGGGGATTCTCTAGAACCTCATAACGTAATGGAGTTGGGGAGGGGGTGTGGGACTTCAGAAACACAACTCTCAGCAGGGCCTAGGCTGGCTGGACTCCCTGCGCGAGGGAGCTCGGCCCCGAAGCCTTCTGGGAGTTGTAGTTGTTTGCTCCCAGGACGGCTGACGCCTTTCTCGCCTCCTTTGCGCTAGAGATCACGCCCGAGCTCCTGCCCCGGCCCCCCCGGCTGCTCCTATTGGTCAACCCCTTTGGGGGGAGGGGTCTGGCCTGGCAATGGTGTAAGAACCACGTGCTGCCCATGATTGCTGAAGCGGGGCTCTCGTTCAACCTCATCCAGACAGGTGAGCCCGGGCCTGGTGGGTTTAGGGATGCCGGGGTCCCCGATGTGGGGAGAGCGGGCAGCTGGCTTGGGCCTATCCACCTCTCACCTTTCCCTCCGTTCTCCCCAGAGCGGCAGAATCACGCCAGGGAACTGGTCCAGGGGCTGCGTCTGAGCGAGTGGGATGGCATCGTCACCGTCTCTGGAGACGGCCTGTTGTACGAGGTGAGTTGGAGCCAGGTGGCCCTGCTCCCTAGCTGGGGGCCTGGAGCACCCACACGGCCTCTCTCTGCCCGCAGGTGGTAAATGGGCTCCTGGATCGGCCGGACTGGGAGGCAGCTGTGAAGATTCCTGTGGGAGTCCTGCCCTGTGGCTCTGGCAATGCTCTGGCTGGAGCAGTCAACCAGCATGGGGGGTAGGCAGGGGACTTCCCCTTGCGCTCCTCCTCTGCATGTGCCCTGTGGGTCTCCTCTGCACCCCTCCAGCTTTCTGCTTCTATCTGCCTGTCTCTGCACCCCCTCCTCCCTTCCCTCTCTCTCTCTCTGACTCAGCATCTGTGTTCTTTTCTGGGCAGGTTTGAGCCAGCAGTGGGCTTAGATCTGCTGCTGAATTGTTCCCTGCTCATGTGCCGGGGTGGGGGCTCCCCGCTGGACCTGCTCTCAGTGACCTTGGCCTCGGGAACCCGCTGTTTCTCCCTCCTCTCAGTGGCATGGGGCTTCGTATCTGATGTGGACATTCAGAGTGAGCGCTTCCGGGTTCTGGGCCCTGCCCGGTTCACCCTTGGCACAGTGCTCCGACTGGCCTCCCTCCACGTCTACCCAGGTCGCCTCTCCTACCTCCCAGCATCCTCCCCAGCCTCCAACGGTCCCCCAGCTCTGTCCCAGCCTCTTCCCCGAGCTGCCTCCGAACTGGCCCTGGCCCCAGCCCCGGCTTCGGCCCCTTCACAAGACACTCACTCACCCTTGCACCGCTCCGTGTCTGACCTTCCCCTGGCCCGAGGGGCAGACATCCCCCCAGAGCCCCAGCTGGACCCCTCCCCCTCCCCCCCTCATTCCCCAGGGCCCTGCCTCCTCTCCCCTGACCCTCCCCTCCCCCCTGGGCTTGGCTCAGATCCAGCCTCCAGCTCCTTGATGGAGCCAGTGCTCCAGGGTTCAGAGCTCCCAGCCTCCTGCAGTCCCCTGGTGTCTTCTACCTCCCCAGCCTCCCATAATCCCTTGAGCCATCCTGACCCTCCAGTCTCCTGCAGTACCATGATCCCCTCTGATCTCAAAGCCTCCCCTTGCCTCCCAGTGTCTTTAGACATTCCATGCTCCCCTGACTCTGCAGCCTCTCGGACCCCATCAGCCTTCTCTGCTGTTTCTCCAGTCGCTGAAGATCCCGGGCAACTTCTGGCCCCCAATCTCTCTTCCTCCCCTCCCTGCCTGGACCCTGAGGAGGCTCCTGCTTCCCCATCAGCCCTCTCCAATCTTTCTCCTTCCCCTAACTCGCAGACCTCCCTGGAGCCTGGGGCTTCTCCCATTTCAGAGTCACCGGCCCCTGGCAACCACCATGGCCCCAAGGACGACCTGTTGCCTCCCCTGGGCTCCCCACTGCCCCCAGGCTGGGTGACCCTGGAGGGAGACTTTGTGCTGATCCTGGCCCAGTCACCAAGCCACCTGTGTGCTGACCTGGTGGCAGTCCCCAATGCCCGGTTTGGGGACGGGCTGGTGCACTTGTGCTGGGTGCGGGGTGGGGTCTCCAGGGCTTCCCTGCTTCGACTCTTTCTGGCCATGGAGAGAGGGAGCCACTTTGGCCTGGGCTGTCCCCAGCTCGGCTACGCTACAGCTCGAGCCTTTCGCCTAGAGCCCCTCACCCGCCACGGAATCCTCACAGTGGATGGGGAACAGGTGGAGTATGGGCCTCTCCAGGCCCAGATCCACCCTGGCTTAGGCACCCTGCTTACAGGCCCCGAGGCCCAAGAACCCCAGCTGGCCAGGGGGGAGGCCTGGGGACCCAAGTATGGAACTGTCTCCTGGGGAGGAGGCAAAGCCTAGCCCTGGTATCCTCCTTAGGCTGGCTAGGGGAAGGAAGCCCAATCTCCAGGCCCAGCATCAGCTCTGGGCCCGTTTGTTTGGGGGGGAATTGTTGCCGGGTGGAACCAGCCTCTCTACCGGCTCCCCGTCTAAGGCTAAGTTGGGGCTTCTGCTGGAGGATAGAGCTTTGCCTCTCTGGCCACAGGCCTGCTCCTCACTCACCTCAGGGGATGAGGCTGGTCACCAGGGCCAGTCTCCACATAGGGACCACGGCTGGAGACAGGGTCTCCAGAGCAAGCTGGACCTCCTGAGGGCAGAGCCTCCCCTTCTTCAGCCTCATGATGGGACCCAGAATGTGGGGGGCACCAGATGACAGGACTGCCTTCCCTGGGCCCTCGATGGGGGCTGCCCTCCTTCTGCCTCCTTTGCTCCTGGTGAGCACCCCCCCTTTTCTTTTGCACTAGGACCCCCTCCCTGAGGGGTGGGGTGTGCCAGGGACCCCTGGGGCCCCCTGCCTCAGTTTCCCTCTCCTACCCCAGTGGTCTTCAAGGCTACAGCCTCTATGCAATAAACAATAACAACGCTTGCTTCAGCCCTTTGGCCCTTCCTACGTCAGGAGGGAAGGTGGAGCGCTTTGGGGTGGGGTGGAGGAACTGAGGCCCAGAGGGGGAGGTGGTCTCCCCAAGGTTCTGTACGGGGTGCTGCCCCCCAAGCAGCAGATGCTTGGCTTCTCATGGTTTATTGGAGTTATTCAACTGGAGAGGGCCAGGGAGCAAAGAAATGGGAAGGGCCCCCCCCCCCCCAACCCCTCAGTTCCCCCCCTGACACCCATCCCCCCTCAGCTGGGAGGAGAAGGGGGCTATACTTCTTTTTCTTAAAAAATATATATATATATATATATATGTATATATATAGATTTATCATCATCTCAGCACCTTGCCCTACCGTTCCCTGGGCCTTAGCCCCTTGAGGAGCCCACGGCCACACCAGTGGGCAGACAGGGGGAAGAGTTCAAGGGACAAGAACAGGGCTGCTGTGGGATCCTCTGATCTTGGGGTACTTCACCTGGGCCTGGCCAGGGAGGAGGCCAAAGTCCTGCCCAGGGCCACACAAGGTCCAGCTGGCAGTGTTCCTGGGAAGAGCCTGCTGGTCCCAGTACGCAAAGAGGTTGGGATGAGGGGCCCAGGACCCTCCCCAGAGGAGAATGTCCTGGGGGTGGAGGCAGAGACAGAGAGGCCAGCCCGGGGGCTGGCAGCCAGTCAGGGCCAGGAGGCAGTGTCCGGGGATAGGGCTGGCTGGGTGTGGGGGTTCAGGGGCACTGGGGAGCCACAGCATCACAGGGCCCCGTGCTGGGCCTGGTAGCGGGACAGCACCGCCCGGTAGTGGGAGAGCTCCTGGCGAACCGCTACCACCTCCTGTCTGAGCAGGGCGTTCTCCTTCTCCAGGAAGGCTGCCCGTACAGAGATCTGGTTCTCCTTCAGCCGCCGGGCGTCCCGAGAGCGCTTGGCAGCCTCATTGTTCTTGTAGCGACGGCTCCAGTATTTCTCATCCTGGGGAGGCAGGCAGGCAGGGTTTGGGGCTCAGACAGGGCAGGAGAAACCAGCCCCTGGCCAGGTCTGTTAGTGCAACCCTAACCAGAGCCAAGCGTTCTTCTGGATGACTGATGACCCAAAGGGCCGGTTACCCCCTCAGCCCCAGCAGTCTCCCCAGAGGGAAAGGGGGGACCTGGGCTCTTGAGGCAAGGCTGAGCTCTCCTCAGTGGGGATGGCCTGAGGCTGACCAGTCAACAGTTAACGCGCACTTCCCATGTTCTGTGAAGAGTACTGTGGCAGCCTCTTTATGTTCATTTTACAAACAAGGAAACTGAGTCTCAGGAAAGGGAAAGGCTCACACAGGGAGCCAGCCAGTCAGCTTGGCCTGATCCCCGCTGACTTAACTAGTCCTGACCTCGGGGGGGAAGGGTGGCCCTTGCTCCTGAAGCCCCAGCCAGGCTGTCTCCCCTAAGGGACCAGCTCACCTTCTGCTCCTCGGGCACCTGCATCTTTGGAGCCTTCTTCATGATGGGCTGGGGCTTCAGCTCCTCCTCAGAGAAGCGGTGCTTCCGGGGGTCAAAAGTGTCCTGCCCTGGGACGCTGGACAGGGCCAGGTCGGCTGGGTCGGGGTCAAAGGTCATCAGCACCTCCACAGACTCAGGGTCCACCGGGCTGGGGGTGTCCCGAGAGGCCGGGCCTGGGCAAGCATGAGGAGGGGGAGAGAGTGACCTCGGGTTCCTCCTCCCTCCCAGTCCCTCCATCCATCCAAGTGGGCGTGGGCTCCTCCGGGGGTCATCGTGTCCATCCCCCAGTGTCACTCCTCGTGGGCCCCCCCCACCTGGATTGGGCACGGTCAATGAGGGTGGGGAGGGAAAGTCTTTCTGGCAAGTCTAGCGACGACCCCTCCTCCTGTTCCCTCAGAATCCCTCGAAGAGCCTGGGGAAAGGGAACTAAAGGATAGGAGCTAGAGGGGCGCCCCCCCCCCCCCCGCGCCTAAGAAGAGTGGGGCGCATGCGCACAAGCTTCTCCGCCCGCTGGGGCCAACCGAGGACACAGTGGCGGGGGAGGGGGTGGAATCACGTGTCCAGAACTCCTCCGCTCCCGCCCCCGCTGCACGTGACCGCGCGCCGCTCGGGGCTGCGTTCCCCGGGGAGTGGGGAGGGGCTCACGTGGGCCCTGTGTGTGAGGCTGCGGCCCGGGAAGACACCCGCCGCTTGACAAGCCGAGGCACTCCAATTCCCAGCAGCCCCAGCGGCAGAGACTCGGGCTGAGTGCGAGCGACCTGTCTCAAGGGCTGCTGGGAGTCGTAGTCCAAACACGGCCTGGCTCAGATCTCAGAAGCGAGGGGCAGCAGATCCGGAAGTCCCCCCGGGGTCTCGCCCTCCCCGGGGCCCCGAATCTCCCGTCTCCCCTTCGCCCCCACTCCGGCGCACCTGCGCGCTGGGAGCCCGAGCCACCTGCGCCTGGGGCCCTAAGTCCCAGAACCTGTCCCCCCGGGGACAGCCGTGGAGAAGCTGGCGTGGGCGTGGGCACGGGAGAGGAAGAGCCGGATGGAGCCGGGGACGAGGAGCCCGACGAGCAGGACGGGGCGGTGGCTGCGCGGGGCGCCGGCGGCCCGGGGTCCGGGGGGCTAGGCGGCAGCCCGTGCTCCAACAGGAAGGCGTCCAGGTCCACGTCGTCCACGTCACCGAAGGGCAGCGGCCGCTCCCACAGCAGCGAGGCCAGCAGGGCGCCGGGGCCCGGGCCGGAGCGGGGCCGGCCCGAGACCCCCAGAAGGCCGCCCACTTCCTCACTGCCACTGGCCGCCGCCTTGCGCTCCCTCTCCTTCAGGAGACCTGACGGAGAGACGGACGAGATGGGGCGGACGGGGGCGGGGCGCAGCGGGGCACACACGCAGACACAGGGGGACACACGCAAACAGGGCGTTGCAGGGACAGTGCGGTGCAGAGCGAGATTCGCGGGGCGGGGCGGGGCAGGTGATGCAGAGAGGGCCAGACAGCGACAGCGAGACGGGGACGCGGGACAGACCCGACGCGGTTGGGGGAAAGTACGCCCGGGCGGGGCGATCCGCGGAGCGTCCAGCACGACACGGGGGCAGGGCGAGGCGGAGGGTGGCACAGAGGGGCCGGGCAGCACAAGGAGGTAGACACGGTTGAGGATCCATGCGGGGACGCAGGAAAGCCCGAAAAGGGGAGCCGCACAGGCACAAGGGAGGCCACCGACAGGCCGAGGCACGGGGCAGGGAAAGACACCCAAGGGGGACACAGAGGGAAGGGCAAGGACGGGGTCGGCGGCTTCCGACCTAGACTACCCGGGGCCCTTTGCATCCATCCCGGGGTCTGTGCCCTCCCCTCTGCGCCCCCAGCCCCGGGCCGGGTGCCCGCCCCAGAAGGATTACAAACCAGCAGGCAGGGCCAGGAGAGGGCTCCGCCCCGTCTCCGGCCAGCGGCCCCATGTGACCCCGGGAAGCCCCGCCCCGGCCCGTGTCCGAGCCTTGTGAGCTCCCGACCCCCGCCCGCCCATAGCCGCTGGGGTCCCGGGGGAGGAGGGGACGCCTGGGTCCCGCCGCGGGACACTCACAGCTGGCCGGCGGCTCCTTGGTCTTCCCGGGCCCCTGCAAGAGGCTTCGCAGGCCGTGCAGCGCCGCGCCTCCCGCCGGGCCGCCCAGCAGCTGTGGGGCCTGGGACCTGTCGCTCGAGGGCCTCGCCATCCCCCGGGGGCTGGGGGCCGTCACCGGCTCATGGGCGACGAGGCTGCACCTTTGGAGACTCCGGACTAGAGGGTGCCGCGGTGCCCCGGGACGGAGACCCTTGCCAGCACCGGCTGGCCTGTGCGTGGGAGCCAGGCGTCCGTGGCAGCCCGCAGACCCCCGAGTGGGCCGGGCGAGCGCCTGTCTGCAAGGGGCCCCGGCGGGGCCAGGGGTCGGCGGGCGAGCGGGCAGCTGCGGGCGCCCTGTGTTTTAAAGCCCGCGAGCCCGAGCTCGTGCACATCGGAGGCGCTTGGCAAGCCTGCACGGGGGAGGCGTGTGCGTATGTGTGTCTGTTGGAGTGTGCAACGGCGATGGGAGGCTGGCCGAGGAGCAGGCGGAGCCAAAAGCGCTGCAAACTTCTTTGGATGCAAAAGAAAAAAAAAAAAAAACAGGCTGGGGGAGGGAGCGGGGTGTGGATTGGTGCAGGCCCCACGGCGGCCTCTCAGTCAACGCCAGCCCCGCACGCCCCTCCTTCTCCCGGCCTGGCCTCGCCTCGTGCTTTGTGGCCCCTCCTCCCTTTCTGCCCGCCCAGCCTCACCAAGCTACATATTCGCCGGCCAATCAGGGTGCGGGCTGGCGAAAGGAGCAGCCAATGGGAATGCTCCTGCCTCGAGCTTGTTCCTGGCTCGCTTTTACCCCGCCACCGGCGCAAGGCGGGGAGGGAGTGGGGCGGGACCCTGACCTAGATTCCTCCAATGAGCATTGGCGCCATGACCCAGATGGGGACAATGGGGCGGGGCGGGAGGTGGGGGGGGGAGCACGTGGCCTCGCGCGTGCCACCCGCCAAATCCTGTGCACTGGAGGGAGATTGCAAGGGGGGGGAGCGGAGGCTGCGGAGTTGTTAAAGGGGCCATGGTCAGGCGGAGGAGCTAAGCCCCAAATCTTTCGGGTTCGGGAAAAGGTTGCGTCATCCTCCATCTGCCGTTCAATAGATAATTCCAATGTAACCCCCTCCCCCTAGCCCTTGGACCCCAGCTTCTCCAGACCACACAGGAAGGGTGTTCTGTCTCTTTAATAGATTTAGCGGGGGGTGGGGAAATGGGGAATGGGGGGGAGAGGAGAGGGGGGAGGCAAGCAGGTCCTCTTCTCAGCGGGCACCGTCCACTGCAAGAAAAAAGGGGCGGGGGAGGAGGTAAGGTCGGGGCAGGACGGGCGCTACCCCTGTAGCCGGAGGGGGAATTGGCTTGTACCATTGGCCTGGGGTAGCCAGGGCACGGAGCTAGCCTCGGTCCTTGGAGTGCACTGGCTGTACCATTGTGTATTACCTCAGGGAAGTGGGACCTTACCATGCAGGCGGGGGATGGGGGTGGTCCTGAATGGACTGTACCAAATCCGAACTGTACCAAGTGTCTTTGGAAGGACATCGTCGGGAGCGGGCTGCTGCATAGTCCCTGTGCTCCCGTGGGGGTGGTGGGGAAGGTTACCTAGGACGCCCTGGTTCGAAGTGCCAGGTCTTGGGTCGGGACACCTGGACGCCAGAATCCCCCGGGGAGTGCCCCAGACCCAGGGCTGATCCCAGAGTAGGTGGAGAGGGCTGGACTACAAATCCCAGCAGGCTTCGCGGCCGATGGCTAGCCAGTTCCCTGCGTTTCGGCCCCGCAGTCTCCTGGGATTTGTAGTTTTCAGCGCCCTCTCTTGCCCTGGCGTTGGGATCGACTGGGGGGGGGGGGGCTCCCGGCTCCTGGGTCTGGGGCATACCGTGCAGTCGGTAGTTGGAGCCCCGGCAGCGCCTCTCCGGGTGTCGCGGGTCCCGGTTGCCTCGGAGGGCGCGATGGGCCAGAGGCTGCAGGGGCCGTCCATTGCCGCTGAGGCTCTGGAAGATTTGGGACGGCGGGTTCTGGCTCAGGAGCCGCAGAGAGTGCATCTGGGGCAGGGGACCAAAGAGAGCTCAGGTGCTGAAGGCTAGAGGTAGAAGGTGCTTAGAGATGGCTCAGGCAAAACTGAGGACCGGGAAAGACAAGGACGTGCAACTAGCAAGTCAGGGCGCAGAGCCGGGACAGGGAAAGTCGCTTAGAGATCCATGAGTCCAACCCTGCTTCCATAAAATAGCGCACCCTCTCCTTTCCCCCCCCCCCCCCCCGGGCATTCTACTTCACTCAAAATCCCTGGTTGGTGAGGAAGCAGGAGGAGGGAGTCACCTGCAGGGAGGTGACATTGAGGGCTCGGTCGATGAGAATCCAGGTGACAGTTTCAGAGCAGGGCGGGGTGCTCAGCGAGCCCTGGTATGTGATAAAGCCGAAAGATTCGGGGAACAGCTGCTCCAGGCTCAGGTCCTGCACGAAGTAGGCGTCATCTGCCAGAGAGGCCTCCGTGTGAGTGAAAAGTAACCCAGCTGTTCTGGCCCTGGCCCTGGCCCCAATTCTTCATCATTCCCAGGAGCAACCCAGGAGTCCCTCCCCACCCCCAGACACAGACCATTGGAAACTGGACACTCACTTTTGTAGGAGATCCGGGTGATGGTATCTCTGTTAAGGAGGCGGCTCAGGAAGGGGTTGGAGTTGGCAGCAACCTGGGGTGGGATGCCAAGGATAAGAAGAAGACTGGCCAGTGAGGCCAAGCCTGGCTACCTAGCAGGAATGTCTTCTGATATCTCCAACCAGAGGTCATGGGGCCTCTGGAGAGCAGAGCAGAAGCTCAGAGCCCAGGAAGAAGCTCCGAGGCCTTCTGGGGGCCCCAGCTCTGCCACTTACTCCCTGGGGGACCCACCCCAAATCTCTCCTCCTCTCTGGGCTCCAGTTTCTGAGTTTGTTTGAACTCAATAATTCTAATCTCCACCTGGACAAGAATCCGCACCCCCACACCAAGCGACCGTCCAGTCTTTGCTTGGAGTCTCCTGTTATGGGGACCTCCTCGCTGGCTAGGACAATGCCTTCAGGACAGTTCTCTCTGAGAGGAGGGTTTTCTTTACCGCAGGCCTAAATCTGCCTGTCTTAGACTTCCACCCACAGTACCTGGGTCTGATCTGTCTGTCATGTAACAGGCCTTCAAATACTCCCCCTACCCCACTCCCATGAGTCTTTCTGCCTTTGGCTAAACCTCCCCAATTCCTTCAAAAGAGACCTAAATCCTGGGTATTAAGGGGGGGGGGCTGGTGAGGGAGAAGACCAGGGCCTCTGAGTTGGGGGCAGGTGAGGGAGGAGACCAGGGCCTCCAGCTGGGTGCTGGACAAAGCTGGGTGAGTGGGCAAAGAAAGAGGGCAGTCACTTAACCCTTCAGATAAAATGGATTCACAACAGAGTGTCCACATTATAGATACAAGGCTTCTTGACCAGATCTAGTGACTCCTCAGCTGAAACCCCAATTCACCAGCCCCTTCTGCTTCCTGAATCAAATTCATTCTCCCCTGCCTGGATCATAATAATATTATATTAACAAGATAGCTAACATTTATATAGGACTTATGTGTCAGGCACTGCTAAGCACTTTACAATTATTATCTCATTTCATCCATTTTACCAATGAGAATACTGAGGCAAACAGAGGTTCTGTAACTTGCCCAGGGTCACCCAACTAGGAAGGGTCTGAGGTTGGGGTTTGAATTCAGGTCTTCTTGACCCCAAGTCTAGTGTTCTATCCAGTGGGTCACCTAGGACCTTGCCAATGAAGGGCTCCCCAAGCGCTCCAGCCTTATCTTGGATAGCCTCCAGTCTACTCTGTCTCGTTTGAGTCCAGTTGGATGGCTCTCTGCCCTGGCGACTTTAGCCTTTGGGTCTTTGCTCACAGCCTTCTCAGTACCTAATGTGTCCTGTGCCTTCCTCCATATCCCTTCCTGGGTTCAATTCTTACCCAACCTGTGAAGCCCACCCCCAGGGCCTTTCTGCTCTCCCCTCTTCCACCTTTGTGCCTTTTTTACCGAGACCAGATGGTGCTTTGAGCTTCAGAGGGTCCTACACTGCTAAAAGCACAGGTCTGGATCATGCCTAATTTTATGTCTTAGGTATATGTTAGGTATCCTCTATTAAAATGCAAGTCTCTTCGAATCCTGGTGTTTCCTGCTATTTGCTAAACCCAGAGACCTGCACACCTTGCAACTTTCATTGTTTGTTCACTGAAAGGCTGCTTCAAAGTAGTTTGAGGTGCATTTAAATCCAGGACCCAGAGCTCTAGACCAGATGAGGTCTGTCCAGAGAAGGGTTAGGGCAGTTGGCCTTGGCCTTGGCCAGAAAGCATCAGGGACACCTCTCCAAAGAGGTCCTTGGAGTCAGCAGGCAGCTTTCTTTGGTATGGGGAAAAGGATGCCTCAGAGGGAACTCAGAATCCAGTACTCAACTCCTGTCCTCTTAAGAACATAGACACCCACAGTCCTCATGGCCCCTCCCCTTCATGCATCCAGCATCTCTTCCCTACATTACTCAGTCCCAAGGACCCAGGTGCACCCTCCTCAGATACCCAGGCATTTCCTTCTCAAGGATTTAGGCATCCTTTCCCCCAGGCTCTCAGATATCCTCTCCCCACAATCTATACCCCTTAAAGACATGTGAATCTATACCCCTGCTTCTGCCACCTCAGATGCCCAGGCATTTGAACTCACATTCACAAAAAGTGCCAAGACAGCCAGTCCATTGGGACCCCGGGAGGCTGCACTTAGATTCCCGTAGAGTTCTTGATTAAAGTGAATTAGCTGCACCTGTATGGAGGGGAGTCACGAAGGCAAAGACAGACCCAGAGATGAGTCAGTGTCAGGAGCAGAGACTCCAGGTCCAGGGATGTGGTCAGAGAGCTCAGCATTGGTAGAAGGGCTGAGCAAGTCCAGGGAGAGGGTTAGCATCAGGCTAAGGGTTGGGATTATAAGTCTGTGAGGGAAGTCAGGGTGACCAGTGGCATCCAAGGCCAAATGATGGCCAAGCCCATGGTGGACACAAATAGGGACCCATCACCTCTGCTGAGAAACTCTCATGGTTGATCTGGTGCTCCGAACCGGCCCCATCTCGGGCCCCAAAGAGGAGACGAAGCTCGCTAAGTCGGTGGCTGTAGAGGAGGGGCCCCCCAGAAACATTGACCACAGGCCTTGGGGCTGGCAGGAAGGAGACATGTCGTCCAGTGTTGTATAGAGTCCCTTGAAGCTAAGGAGAGATAGAGTTGGTTAGAGAGAT